AACCCTAAACCCTAAACTCCATGGGATGGCCATGATTATATCGGTGTGGAGGCTTCAGGATTTTGAGGGGGCTTGTGGTTTAGGATACAAGGTTCCGAGAATTCGGGACTGGCTGAAGGGTGCAGGTTCGGAGATCTGGGGTTCGGTCAGGGCATTGGGAGAGAGTGTTAAGAGTTTAGGGTTTAGGGGTTTNNTTTAGGGGTTTAGGGTTTAGAAAGGAGCTTCCAGTGAAGAAACGCGCAAGCCACTGAGCTCTTCTTTTGCAATCCGTTCGCGACCCTTTCCACCAGCCAAGATAATGGTTTCGGACTCATAACAGATAAGGGCTCGTTGACCGAGCAGTAAGTCCTCGACTTGGGTTCAAGAACTTCCCGACCGCATCAGCTCGGAAGCCAAATTAACGATTCGGGTGTGGGAGTGTTTGGGGCAGTCAGCTCCCCACAGTGTGAGTGCTGCCTTCATGTTGCAGCTTTCGGGAGTCCTTCTCTTATCATATTGGTGTACTCTTGGGAAGCCGATTGGGGGAATCGTTCATGCTTGACCAGCCGAATCTGCGTACAGTGCGTTCAAAGTCTACTCCGTCGGTTCATGGCATAGAGATCTTCGCAAATACAAGTGTTGCTTACTGTCTGGAATAGGGGAGTTTGGTAGGAAACAAACCTCAATTCGGATCTTTCTCTCTGGGGTTCACAGCCACGTTCGTGCTGTTTTCGGACGGGGTTCTCTGCTAGCTCGAAACCCGGAAAGTCTAAGTGTTGAACTTAAACTCTATTCTGTAGCCAGCTTGAGACCCTAAAAGCCTCCCGATATCCTAAACATGAAGACCGAATCCGTCCGGGTTTAGGTTTCAGGGCTTTAGGGCTTGGGGTTTAGGGTTCAGTCCAGATCCATCAAGACTCACAGCCCTAGCCTGGACCATGGATGAATAGTTCCCCCGTATTTGAAGGCCCTGATACTAGGATCCGTTAAGCTCCCTCATTAAAGGAGATGTGCATATTGGATGTCTATCAAAACAGACCGGTTTGTTGATCCGGGCTCTTCATAAGCCCTAAATCATCTAAACCCTAAGCGCCAGATCCTAAACCTCTACATTTAAGCTCTATAGCTCGGAGATCCTGAAACCGTAACACACTATATGCATTCCACGAAATTGGGGAATGATGATCTAATGAGAATCACGGATACTAGTAGTAGCAAAAACGGTAGTAAAACTAATCATGCTAGTAGTAGTAGTACTGGTTTTTCATGTTTGTATGTATGTCTGTAAGTATGTAAGTATGTAAGTATGTAAGTATGTAAGTATGTAAGTATGTAAGTATGTAAGTATGTAAGTATGTATGTATGTATGTATGTATGTATGTATGTACCTGTATGTACCTGTATGTGTGCATGTGCATGTGCATGTGCATGTGCATGTGCATGTGCATGTGCATGTGCATGTATGTATGTAAGTAAGTATGTATGTATGTATGTATGTATGTATGTATGTATGTAAGTATGTATGTATGTGAGTAAGTATGTAAGGATGTGAGGATGTAAGTATGTAAGTATGTAGGTATGTAAGTATGTAAGTATGTAGGTAAGAAAGTAAGTAAGTAAGTATGTATGTATGTATGTATGCACGCATGTATGTATGTAGTTTATGATAATATGCAAAATGGTAATATACCAAGAACTAACAATAACAACGACATTTTTTCATGTGTTAGTTCTTGATGCTAGTAACAACAACAAAGATACATCATCACAACCCTGAGACTCCGAATCCCTACACCCTGAGTTCTCCCCCGAGAGAAGCATTTATGGAAACTCTTCTTGATTTCTCACAGCACGATTATAGAATAAGCCATATAGGACTCCTCCAAAATCCCTGTAGGATCCTCATCGAGAGTTTAGCAGATCCCGCGAGTCCTTGTAGAAATCTTATAGACTTAATTACAGAAGCCCTGAACGAATCCTCATAAAACGTTTCTAGACTCGCAAAGCCCCAGTTGAGATGCCGAAGCCACGAAAGCTCCATCTGCAGGAAACTTCAAACCACCTGCTCGTGGCGAGGCGCCTAACTGCCAACCCCGGATGCTTTCCAATAAAGAAGGGTTTACGGCTCTTTTTCAAAGCTTACGCATGTAAAGGGTGCGGGCTCGAAAGTAAACTCTGGCTTCGAATTTTGGGGCCGACGAGAGCCGCTGTCTATATGGGAGTTTCCGACAATTAGGGTACCTTATTTTGGGGTCCTTATAATAAGGATCCTATTATTTAGGGTACTGTAGTAGGGTCCTCTATTTTTGGAAACCCCCATATCTTGAGTTCAAGACAGTGCTCGGAGGGATGAGTTGAGGAGCCTGTGGGGCCTATGGAACAATGCAGGAGCATTCCTTGTTGCTAGCATTACAAGATTATGGTCATGATTAATAGTGTCATAATTGGTAATGTTTCTAATATTCTCTGTATTTTGTAGTAAGTTTTATTTACTACCTAATATCTGTTCACTATCTACTAGTACTAGTACGTACTAGT